GGTAGTCATGCTGCTGAGCGCCTAACTATACTGCAGTTTATATTTTTCAACACCGAGTTTGTTTTTCTAGGCCGAAACAGGTAGCATGATGCAATGATATAACGAATAGGTGCTTATTTCGACATCGATAACAACAAACACACTTACGGGGAGCATCAGTATATTCCTCCAGAAGTTCCCCATTGCACACTGCAACGCGATGCACGCAGCAGAACACCAATCGTCGGTTTTTCTTTATTCATATCAGCCAATAAGAAGGGCGATTGGTACCAGGTTTTAATGATAATGCAGATTCAGTGTCAAGGTGGACGACGTTTTGCCACTGAAACTGTATCAGGACTGGAGCACAATGCATGATTTGCAATGACACGACATGAGCGCCCATTGTGAAGTTACGTGCTGCTACATGAGTATACCTTCTGCAGCATATTCTACACCAGCGATATATTTTTCTTGTAAGAACAAGTATAAATGGTCATTGTACGATGCAATGAGGTCACGTGCAAGATATAGGTGCAAGGTATTACGAAATATTTCTTTTTTTCTTTTTTTTTTTTTCGCTGACATAAACTACGCTTCGTCGAACGCTCATTCTCCGCCATAATGTAGCGCATAGCTGTCGAAACCAAACGCCAAAGTTTTAGAACTAACCGTTTTCTCAATTAAAAGTTGAGAAGTATTTTTTTTAGGTTTTCAATGGGCAAAGTGTGACAACGGAACCCTGCAGCAATACATGGAGCTCAATGGCGACAGCACCATTTTTAGCATTGAAATTCTAAAAAATCATTGATAACGTTCAGTTTAAAGCTTTGGCTTGTGGTTCGAACCACTAGCGCTACATTTTCGCAGAGAATCAGCATTCGGCGATGCGATGTTTAGTTTTGTAGTGGAAAAAAAAAACTGAAAATTTTATTTGGGGCGGGGGGGGGGGGAGGGGGGGGGAGGGGGAGGGAGGGGGGGTCACGCTGTATACATACCCGCTGATTGGTTTTCTAAGTGCATCGGATTGCAGTATCATAGCCTCCTCTATACTGACAAAGCCTGGCAGATCGCCACGAGACGCGGCCGCCGAAATGGAAAAGGTGGAGCGGCAGACAACGGATGAGAGGAGAGTCATGTAACGGGCGCCCCCTGCGGCGAGACGCCGAAACACATTTCTCCCGAGCGATGGAATGTCCGTTCGTGCTCCTCGCGTTACCGCTTCTTTTCTCGTCTGGTTTGAAAACCATGTTTCGGGTCCTCGCCGCTGCAGAAGCTGTGCGCTGAATACCAGAAATGCTCTCTGCTACCAGATCCTCGCACTCCAAATCTGCGACTGGGCACTCCATGGCTCCGCCCTCAAGCTGCCTGGCTTTGTGAGTACAGATGAGGCTGTGGCAGTACGCACTCAGAAATTGCTGGGAGCGTACGGTCAACGCCTCCTGTATACCCTATATATGCCTGTCGGACGGAGGAAAATATAATGAGGACCGTCGTTCGAGAAGTTGCGCGTCGCCGCCGTTGCTTCAGGGCGGGGGCGCCACCTTCGTTGGAGCAGGGTAAAGAGCCTAGATTGAAGAGAGCGTCCACCTATAACTATAAGGAGCGTTTGCAGTTTAATGGCGTACACGTTGTGTGGCAATCAGTTGCAAGTGCGCATGCGCTGCGTTTTCGCGTGGCGAAGAGGAAAGCAGGAGGAAAAGCGGACACATTTGCAGACGATCAACGCTTCGTCACCTTTTCGCAGCTCGTATGCGGAAAGCAAGTCGTCTGCTTGTTGCGCAAGAGTTGTGGTGACGTCAGAATGCCGAGCTCTGACTGGTTCTGAATGAAGGATAGTGGGTAGACCTCAAAGCAAGCTGCCTTGAGGTCTACCCATTATCTTTCAATCAGAACCAATAGGCGTTTGGCGTCTGTCTGACGTCACCACAATCCGCGCAAAAAAATGCAGACGCACTTGCGGTTCGCATTGCAAGCGCGGCCCATATACCACGTGAACCCCATCGAGATGTAGGAGCCTCTGCTTAATACAGGCTCTCAGGAGGCCAATGCCGGGGCTTTGCGCGGGACGCATCATCTGCTCGTGCCCTAGAGAGCCTGCATCCCAGAGCTTCAAACTGCTCGATCGGGGACACGTGGTTTTTGGGGCGCATTTGCATTACGAGCTGCGAGGTGGTGACGAAAAGCGTCTGCAAATGCCTCCGCCTTTCCTTCTGCCTTCCTCCTCGCCACGCGAAAAAGCAGCGCATGCGCACTTTCGACCAATCTCTCCAGGAGGCGTCCGCCATTAAATCGCAAACGCTCCCCGTGGTTTCAGATTAATCCTCTCTTCACTCGGCCCCCAACGCAGGCTGCGCCATCTTGCGGTGCACACGGGCGCTAGAAGAAGAAGAAGAGGAGGGGGAATGATTGGGAGGGTGGTAAGAAGGACTACAGTGTACTAATAGAATACGGGGTAGTGTTGGGACCGGAGCGGCTCGGGTAAGGCGTGTAGTGCAGATCGCAAGAGGTGTCGACACTGACGGATCGGCAGTAGGGTCAGTATGATGGTAGTTGTGCGCGCGCCCCGCGTGCACGCGCAAAACTACTGCAGCGGCTTTCTGCTGCCCTATCGACTGCAGCGCCGCGATTGGTGTCTACACACGCAGCCTCACAAGCTTCCATTGCCGAGTCGCCCCCGTATTCTAGTACACTGCAGCACGACCGTCCCGGGGATCGCTTCCGACGTCCATAGGGTACACAGAAGGCTAGGGCACGGTTTGCACCGAAACTACAGACCTTTCCAAAAATCGCCTTCTTCGCGGCGCCATTTTTGTCTTCTGGGCTGCCTTCTGAGCATGTGCTGTAGCTTTGTGATGCGGTATACCAGACGCTAGGTGTGCGTCCAGAGATCTGTGACTCGGCATTTTTCGCGAAAGTGCTATAGGTTAAGATAGCGTGGCTTATTATGTTCACGTTATCCGCTTCGTGATAGGTTTTTCGGCGTTCTTATCGGCTAATGCCACAATCTGATTAACTGCTGATTGATAATAAAGTTCTTGGAATTCGCCACGCCCTGCGTTTCTTAATCTGTCAGTTACTACACGATCAGAATCGCATTAAAGACTGCAGCGATGTGCAGATCTGAAAACGTTCTTCTTACCCTTGGAAGGTAGATCGGTAGGCTCTCTCGGAGGGGTGGGCTGCTGGTCGACAACTTTTTCTTTCTTGTTTTCGCCGAAAGTCTTTTATACAAATTGCATGTTTTACGATTGCCAGAAGTCTCAAAAAGCTGGGGTTATTTTTATTTCTTTCGAAAATCGTAAAATGAACTGTTGCCCCCCCCCCCCCCCCCAAAAAAAAAAAAAAAAGGTGTTTTCGAAAAACAAGGGCCTGATGATGTTAGCGTTACAGCTCAAGAAGGTACGGCGAGGGTAAGACGTACGGGGGGAAGGAAGCAGACGGAATGCCGGAGAAGAGAGGAGGAAATATCCTTCTCTCTTCAGCGTTCCGTCTGCTTCCTCCTCCCCGGCCCGTCTTAACCTCGACCTGCCTTCTTAAGTTGCAACGGACTATAAATGAGCTACGTTTAGAATATCCGCACTCTGTTCTCCGATATTGTTGTGGGCGCCTCCATCTTGGTGCTTGGTGCAGGGCAGACGCTACTGCCGATCGTCATAACTCAAAAGTGCGGCCTCCTCGGCATTCGATTGGGTGTTAGGAAGCTCATGTAATATTGGTTTGCCCTGTCGCGAACCATTTAAACATTTTTGGAGGACGGAACAGCGGTTCCTGGGATTTCAGATAAAGCTTCAGATAACTGACACTTATCATTTTAAGCCCCAAGATGGATAAGGGTCGTTACTCTGAAGCGTAGCTTATTTAGTGGCTCTAGTTTGCACCGTTCCTTTATGGTCATCACTCGTCGGGTGAGTCCACAACGATCACTCTTTGTGGCGGTGCAATCGAGTGACTATTGTTGAACGATCTCCAGCAGCGAGCATACACCGTTTTATCGGTTTTATCATGAGTGCAACAAGCGCGAGCTTAACACCTTGAACGGAGCTTTCACTGCACGCTTTTGTAGCTTATAAAGTGCCTTTAGGTGCGCACATAAAGACACACTAGTAGCTTGAACTCACTCAGTCCCTCAGTTTCATTCCCTGTCTTTCTGGCCATTAAATCGCATTCTGAGCTTATCAGCTAGAACCTCGCAAGCGGTTCTAACTTATTATTTAAAAAAAACAAAAAAAAAATATATATATATATATATATATATATACTTCTTGGGGCAGGCCGTTTACAGACCTTTTACGGAAGTATGTCATGCTTATACTGTATCTGCAAGTAAACTAAACAAAAAAAACTAACTTTTTGCATTTTCATTTAACCTTTGCGAGCCTCCGTAAAGGGAGGTGACTTGAACAGTAACGTGCCGATGTCGGTGTAGTTTTTAGCAATCTCAACAAGACTTTGCACAACCGCTGACCGAGAAAAGAAACTGCCAGCAGTAAATTATAGTGCGTAGGTTGTGTTTGTACACCTTAGAAAAATACATCTTCTTTATTGCGAGAAAATTGAGCACTTGGGTGTTCTTCAGACATATTCTAACAATGTATGATTCCCTCTTGACTTAGCTTTTGTGCTTACACGTTTTCACATGGGACATCGGACGCTATCCTCGCTCCGTCAGATGGGGGGCCTTTTCGGCACTGTGGCCGCACCAGTATTCGAGCGTGGCGCTGCTAGCTGTTCTCTGTTGGCGTATACAAGAGAAGGACGAGACCAACGATTGGCTACAAGAGGAGGCTAGAAGGCAAACAATACACCCTTTTCAAAACCCCGTCAAGCAACGCTGGCGGTATCATCTCTTGGGCACTAAGCGAGTGACTGAATCAGAGTCCTCGCCGAATTCTCACGCAGCACTCGTGTCAAATACATGATCAGAATACATGCCCAAACAATGGCCGACTCGGGTAGTTGGCGCAGCAACTACAAAAAAAAAAAAAAAAAAAAAAAAAAACTGGTTAGGTGGCGCAAGTTGAAGCCCGATTCAAAGGGTTCACCCTCATCCATTCATCTATCTATCCATCGGTCTATTAGTTACAAGAGAAGGCTCTCAGTCCATAGCGAAGTCTTTGCTGTCACGGCAGCGCGGGCTTGCGTCACTGGGTGGTCCTGGAGGCTATGGTACTGGTGATCCACTGGTTGTAGTTGTTCACCTTGGTGTAGTAGCCGTACCTGCCGGGCACTCCGCACTTGCCCATGTGGGACCAGCTCACGATGCCCACCAGGAACCAGGTGTCTCCGAGCTGCGCCACGAAGGGCCCGCCGCTGTCGCCTTCGCAGGTGTCCGGCACCGTCGGCTGGTTGTCGTACCCCGCGCAAAACATGTTGTCCGTGATCTGCCGGAGAAGTTATTGAAAGCCTCAAGTGGGTGCATGCTGTAGGTAAGCGGTCTTCAAACTTTCGAATCATACCGCTTTCAAATAAGTCGTAGTTCTTCCCTCCAATTAAAGGAGTACATACAAACAAGCAAAGAATGTTATATATTTTGTATGCACTAAAAACAAAATTCGGAAACTTTTTAGCAAAAACAAAAACAACAATTAGAATGTGCTCTTTAAAAAAAACATAATCATATTTGTTCGAAAGTTTCGTGACTCGACAACTTACCGTAGAGAAATGATTAGAGGCTGGCAGCTTACATAGTTTGTGAAGCTTCTAAATGTGGTTTGTATCATGAGAAGGAAGACCGGCGTTGGGCTCCAACGGTCATACAGTCTGTTGTCGCTGACATCTTAAGAGACATAGGGCGCGGAGAGTCCCCGGCATGACGTAGTCGCCCCGCTCTCAATAAGATTGCGGTATTCGCCAATAAGAACGCCTAAAAAACAAATCCCGAAGCAAGAATCGTGATTTTAGTAAGTCACGCCCTCTGTTTCTGAAGCTGTCCGAGGCTGGGTTTCCATGACTGCGATTGTAGCGCAAAGACTCGAGCAGGGACCAATCACACGCACACTGTCTCCCTACTTTTTTCTCTTCTACTCAATCTAAATAGTCAAATCTCGATTGATGCGCTACGGTCGCATCCGTCTAAACGCAGCTAGTGACTGTAAGTGGCAAGAAGGGTTGGCGTCATTTTGCAGCTGAAACCGCGTGATCATTAAGGTTCGATATTAAAGAATTTTCGTAAATCCTTCTGATAACTCCGACAACGATGCATGATGGCAGTACGATAGAACGTGCAAAGGTTCTAGCGGAATATCCGGTAATCCTATCGCAGTCATCCGGACGATCTACGAAAACCCCCCAGTGTTCGCTCTGCTCAATAGGGAGTTTAAGCAGAGCGATACCGCAGGCTACAGCGGTCAGCTTCTGGGGACTCCTATATACGTACCTTTTTTTTGATAGCGGCGCTGGCAGCGTCCAGACAGACTTGCTTCTTGAGGATGGGCAATCGGACCTCCTGCAAGTTCTCTGGCCGGGGTCCCTTAATGTTGACGCGGCCCCAGCCGCTGGCCAATCCGAGCACGGACTTGTTCGCCTTGAACACCACCTCCTCAATGAACTGGTCGTCTCCTAGGCAGATGGGAGTCACGTAGGGACTGTACTGGACCGCCGCCCGAAGCTCCAGCAGCGCGATGTCGTTGTCCAGCGTCTTGTTGTTGTAATCCGAATGTTTAATCAGCTTCCTGTTAAATCGAACGCATGTGGAAGTGAGATGAAGCAGAGTACACATGGCTTGCAGTGACCTTCATATCAGCTGCCATTGTGGTGACGTTGCTGCTTAGCACGTATATTTTGCACCACCAAATTCGCTTTTCTCGGCAAGGACAAGTAAGAATGACCATCTGTAGGGTGCGATGACGCCACTTGCAAGTACTCTATGTAGTCCCGGTTCAGGTCCGCTAAAAGAAAATCACGGGAGTCATGTGAGAAATGCCCGTGTGTTTAGCACAGTGGAAGAAACATTTAGGTGATGACTCTTTGTCCGACGCGGCGACCACATTATGTTCGGTGCACCGAGCGCTGCACTCGCACGGGTATAGATGGCGCCCAAGTATCGGCTCCCTCCCAAACTGACTGCTCCGGTTGTTTCTCCCAGCGGTGGTCCCGCATTCCCTCGCTCACCGCTTTTGGTCGTACCTCACCGCCGCCACGCCGCCACCAAGTCGTCAGAGCCAGTAAATCTGCGTTTTCTTCCTTCTACTTCTTCTTCGGGTTAAGGCTCACCCTCGTGCACGATTGTGTCATCTGTGATCGACACAGCACCAAAGCAAAACACGAGGCCAGCCACTGGCCGCACACCACCACCGCACCACCACACTGCGCAAAAGGCAAGCACGCTACGCCGCCGACACCGTGGCCGCCGAGAAGGGACCTCACACCTCAGCAAACTCCGCGGCAGCGCGGAACTAACTACTCCTGGTTCGAGGCTAGCTCAGAACACGATCTGGTCGCTCGCTCCCCACGGGAAGAGCGGCCAGAGTCATCACCTAAATGTGTTGCTTCCACCGAGGTTTATAGTAACTGACAGGATAAAAAAGCAGAGTGTCCCTTTCTGACGCCTCCAGCATTCGCTCCGTCGCCCTCCGTCATGCCATAGCGGCCTCCTATATACTGACGGGGCATGGCAGATCGCCACGAGAAGCGGCGATCTGCCATGCTCACGCCATGAGAACAAGTGTGTTTCGGGTCCTCGCCGCTGCAAAAGCTGTGCACTGACGTCCAGGTTCCCCGAGAAGTGGCTCTTTGATGGTCTGTGGTACCAGATCCTCGCGCTCCAAATCTGCGACCGGGCACTCAGTTTTTTTCTTTTTTTTTTTTGTCTTTTTTTTTGTCTTTTTTTTTTGTACTTTATACCTGAAGTGTACAAAGACTGCCTGCCCCCCCCCCCCCCCTTATGTCAAGCCCCACGTGGGTATTTAAGGGATTAATAAATGAAATGGAATGGTTGTCGAACTGTCAGGCTTTGAGAGCGTAGAGGAGGCTATGGCGCTGCTGTGGCTGCTCGTGCATGATTTAGGCTCACGAGAAGCCGAAGTGTTATCGAAGGTGAGAAGCTGGAGCTGGGATAACTGAAGGACCTCCCTGCCATTTTCGTTCTGTCAGTGATTATAGTTTCTTCAGAAAACACGGATAGCCTATCGGTGCAATCTTCGAAAGAGTTCGAATTAGAGACAAGGCAATAAAAAAAGAAGCGAAATGCCCCGAACATGTAGGCTCAAGTTTCTCGCAGAGAACTCGTTTAGACGATCACTGCGAATCTTCGAAGGAAGCTCGGCAAATGACAGACTCAAAAACACATTTTCACTTTAAAAAAGAAAAGCAGAAAAACGCATGCCGTCTCACATGCTCACGTCCTGCGCAGCGTTACAACACGCAGGTTTCAGTTTTAGCTCCCAAAACGTTATTTTTTACCCTTGCCCGGCCTAGCTCTCCCTGCAGGTAGCAGCGATTGGCTCTCCGAGTGCGCAGCGGAAAATTAAATGTACAGTGCTAATCACACTTGTCTATAACGCGCGAGCGTGCGGCTTTCTCCGGGGAGCGCTAGGCTGGTGGCATTCGCGAAAACTAAGCTAGTCACGTGGAGCAACATGGAACGGCCCGCTCGAGGGGTGTCCTGCCCACTCTATCAGCTTGATAAGCGATAAAAGTAAAGTGCTTTATCATATATTTTCGTTTTTTGATGACATCGTTGATACGCATTCATGCTTTAGTTTTTTTATGGTTCGAGAATGATGTTTGTAAAAAGCGTGCGGGCAGCCTTCCGCGTTCGCCGCCAGCTGATAGAGTGGGCCTGACACCCCTCGAGCGGGCCGTTCCATGTTGCGCCACGTGACTAGCCTATAGTTTCCGCGAATGCCACCAGTCGAGCGCTCCCCGGAGAAAGCCGCACGCTCGCGCGTTATAGACAAGTGTGATTAGCACTGTACATACACTTGTAAAGTTAGAGGACCACCATTTATGAGAAATCTTCATGGTGGGCAAGGTTTATTAAATAATAAATGATGCTCTAGCTGTGATGGAGCACACTTTGTGCCTCCTGCCCGGACCAGGCGAATTTTTCAGCAACGATCGAGACGGTTAACGTTATCTCCCGAACAAACGGCCCCCCCCCCCCCTTCCCCCGAAAGATTCCCCACCTCATATTTTTTCTCTTATCTCTTCTCTTCGCCATGAATGGGTGTTCATTAGATATTTTACGCTAAAAGGCGCAAGTCGCGCTCCATCTCGGGTGGAGGCATCGTTTATTATTTCATTAATCCTTAGGATGTACCGCTACTTGCCTGACGGAGAGCGTGATCTCGTGATCTCCCTCGTTGACGAGGCTGTGCTTGCCTAAGATCACGCGTACGTTATGGCGTCCGTAGATCTCGAAGCAGTGGGCCGCCGTGAGCACCCAGCGGTGGCTGATGAGGCTCCCGCCGCAGAACGCTTCGTTCGAGTCTGACTCGCGGAGAAGCACCTGAGGATGGTAAGGAAGGCGAATAACGCCTAAAGCTGCTGTTGACTGAAATACTGAAAATATACATCTGATTCCAATTAGACACTTGCTGAGTGTCATCGAAACCACTGAATCAGAAATTTTTAGGAAGAGTTTGAGCGCGTGAGAGGCGCAGTAATGCGTAAAGGTTACCGCTCGCGCAGCAGGTGCAAGGCTGCCGGAGCGATAAGGCTCCCGTGCGATTTTTTCCGTCTCTTATCAGAGCCCCATCCTCGTACCTGTCGCACAAGTGTTACTTTTAGCGCACAACGTACGCTATCCAAGCGCTCAATGTGTTTGTATAAATTACCGATCTGGTGGTTTTCGATGACTTTCGTCCTCTTGTGTGTTTCTTTCGTTTTAATTCAATGCATATGTCTATCTTCACTAATTAAAACGTTGGTTAACAAATGTTACCTAATTAGTCGACTGATCGTTACGATTAGCTTCCTATACTATGTCCCCCTGGCCATATAACTCACCTGCACAAACCGCATAAATGCAACTTTCATGGTCCTTTTTTTTTTTTCTTATAACAAGTATGTTAATTTTAGAAAGAGACATTGTGTATATGTGATAAAGTTTTGGGGGCAAGGTGCAGGCCTTATCTCTGAGGAGATATACTGCGTGCACAGAAAGAGCTGAACGCAATATGTGGCGAGCTCGACTTACCTGCCACGGGTGAGCGCCAACTCTGGCGTCGCTGCCTCGAACAATTTTGGAGCCTTGATTGTTGGCCGCGTCACCGGGTTGTGCGAGGAGAGGCTTCCCGCACGGACCTTGGGAAAGGGGGCAGAGTAAACTGTAAAGGAATTTCTAGATGCTATAGTTACTTTAAGGTTTTTAGAAACGCCATGCGTAACATGTTTCGAGCACTTTATCATTGCTCTCTAATCAATAAGATCACGTCATTAACCAATAGCCGCAAGAATGAATTCCGAAGCAAGAAGCGAGACGATAACAAGCGACACCTTGCCTTTCTTGAGCTTGCACCGACTAATCAATAACTGCACGGGCGCAGCTGGAGCCACTAAATGAGCTACGCTTAGACTATCGGCGCTTCGTTCCCTGATCTGCTAGTGGGCGCCGCCATCTTGGTGCTTGGAGCAGAGTGGAACCCACGGGCGATCGTCACAATTCAAAAATGCGACTTCCTCAGCTTTAGACACGGCGGTAGGAAGCTCAGGTGATTACGTTTTGCTTCGTCGCGGAACTGTTCTAACATCCCTTCAGGACGGAAAAACGTTTTCTGCAATGTCAGGTAAAGCTTCAGATATGTGACAGCCATGATTTTACGCACCAAGATGACTGAAGTGTCGTTCCTCTGAATCGTAGCTTATTCAGTGGCTCTAGCCGCAGCTATAACTGACCTTCACTCTTTGTTTTAAGGCGAAAGCCTTATATGCTCCAATACGGGAAAAGGCGGCGTCGGCGTTGTACCCGAAAGGTGGCCATAAAAATACGTCATCAAGCACGCGGTGCTCAAGGTTAAAGCGGACGCGCCTCAGAAATAAAACACAAACAACGCAGATGCTTCGTCACGGAACCCGTGAAGCCGGCGGGGCCACTGCGCGTGCGCAGTTGGCGAGCTTAATGTCACTGCCGGAGCAAAACACTTCACCCGCGGGACTCTAATGTCTTTCGCATTCCTACACGTAAGTAATCTTAAGTGTTTTCAACGTGTTCTTTTTTTTTTTTTTGCTTTTATTTCACTCAATTTACTTCTTCATTGTGCAAAAAAAAATATATTTATCTTCCTTTTTGTTTACGTGATTTTTTGCGTGCGGGAGGGCGGAAAGGATAGGTTTTATGACATTTTTGAATGGTCCTTGAACTCTCCGCAAAATCCCTCAAAACTTTCAGACGGAATTCGGACTAGGAAAAAGTTTCAACCGCGCCTTCTCTGCCCACGCCACTGCAAAGAGCTCCCGAAGTTCAGCCGGCACACTGGTCCTAGACTTCTTCCAACAAAATGGCAGGCTGTCAGAACAAAGTGGGCAGCAATGAAGCGGCATGTGGGGTCACACTGCCTCTCAGTCGGTCAAAAGTGGGGCACGTCTTGTCGGCACCTCCGCAAAGCAAGGCCTGTTGTGTACCCTCTTCTCGCTCCGTGATTCGTCGGGATTGGCGGTTTCCTCCTCTCCACTCTCCCTCTCCAGCGTTCGCTCTGCTAAAGTGGAAAGACTGAAGCACTTTGTAGAAGAAGCTTGTCCTGCCTTTTTTTTTTACCTTCATACAACTATATGCCCTTCTCGGTGGCCAAACCGATTGATGAAAATCGAATGATTCGAGTTCGCGCGCTTCGCGGGACAGCATGCACTCTGGTCGGCCCGTTTTCAGGAACGTCACGTCACGTCACCTGGATAACGGGGAGAGCAGAGGGGGGAGGGGCGGGTAGAGGAGGGGGGTTAGAGGATAGGAGGGAGGTTTGAGGCTTAAGTGAGTCACACGCTAGCCATTAGCCGGCTCCCAGATATCCTTATGTGCAATGGGTAAGCCAAGCTGGCAGCCAGCTGGAGCCTAGCGCGTGAATCACTGTAGCGTGTTTAAATAAGCCTCTCTTTCCCCGAAAACCAGGCAATGTGACGTTCGTGAAAACATGCCAACAAGAGCGCCGCAATCCGTTCCTTGCTCGACAAGCTTTTCCGAATACGCGTCCCGGAGCAAACCTTGGTCCAGTCCTTGGATCCTGTCGCTCAGAGCCGAGCCTCCCGTGGTGTTGGCGTCCCGCACGGGCACCGCCTCGTACGTGATGTGAAAGCCTCGACTGCCGTTGGCCCGGTCACAGCGAGCGTCGAACAGCACCGTCGCTTGCCTACCGGAAGTGACGAAACTCTCGTTGGCGTAAGCGTCGCCCGGCGACAGCGTCCCCAGGAGGGCGCCACCTGGCAACGAGTACAACAAAGAACGAATATGTCTACCTCTTTGCTAAAGCGTGGAATGCTTTTAGTGGAACTCCATAAAGTCGGAGTCACTCTGCTCAAACTCTGTACATCATACAAGAGACTGACGTGTTCTCTGCCGACATAATGACAAAATTATCTGTTCAAAGCATGTTCTCCTCGAAAATGTCTGCGGACAGTGTTTGTGTGAACAATGTGACCGTCATACAAGGAGGAAACCCGAATCAGACAGTGTGCGCAGACCGTCTTTTGTATGATGCGTTAGGAGCCTGACCGCGGCTTCATCCCAGATATTTGTAGTACGTCCGTCCGTCCCTCAGTGCATTTACCCGCAATAATTCATCGCGGAAATTGACGTCATGTGGCGTTGCATCCGCTTACCCGGGCCGTCCCCGTCGACGAGGGTGACGGTGTTGTTGGGCGATGCGCACAGGTCCAGGTCTTGTACCTTGAAGCTTATGACGTTCCCGCGCGGGACGTCCACCTTGGCCTCGCAATACGCCTCGAGCGGGTAGAAGGTCGGATAGCTGGGGCTCTTGATCACGCCGGACAACTCGTTGTCTTCCAGGTAACACGCTGTGAAGACAAAAAAAAAGTATTGAAAAATGCTCAAAAAAAAAATACATCTGCATCTTTTATGCCCTAGGTTCGCTAGTATAAAAAACAGAAACAGCCGACACCGCACTCTTAGAAAAAAGGGTCAGTATAGTCCTCCCTAAAGGGAGGAACGCTCATGACACATATGTTCCTTCAGAAAGGGAGAAACTTTCGTCCCTTAAGCAGGGGAGGAAAAGTTCCTCCGTCGACTGCATCTCATTATGGTGTCCACGAATCAAGCAAATCGAGCTCGGTAAGGCTTAACGAGAACACTAAGTCTATTGCACGAAGCGAGAGGAGCAGGAAATAAAAACGTAACACGAGCTTTCCGCGAACTGTATTCATTTCCGAAGTTTCTTTACCCCTGCAGGTAAAGAAACTTACGTTTCAAAAGCATGCAGTCACTCAGTCTTCTCATCGTCAGCACTGCGATGTTCAACGGAGACAACCGGCACTCAGTTCGCGCACTTTATGTCCTACCTTTGCTATTCCTCGAGCCACAATTCCTTCGTCAACCGTTGCGTCAACCGCACATCACGGAGGAGTGAAAATCATTCGCCCACAAAACCAAAAGCCGCTCAAAAAAAAGCAAATCCGAAGCAACCTCTCGGCTTTCCTCAGCACGGTAACACGAAATTATGGCGTAGCCGCGTAGCGTAAAAGGATGTTAAATCGCTTGCCACCAGATGGCAGGGTCAAGCAGAGTAATCGCACGTAGCTAGGCTAGGTGGCGCTAGGTACCGCCCAATTCATGTTTTACAAAAAAATATTTTTATTTCCTTACTTCACAATTGCGCTTCCTTTTCTTCGGAATCTCTAACACATGTAGACACGTTGCGCACACTACAAACATCAGGTCAACATATATTGAACGCATACACAGGCATCGCACATACAAACATCAATAAAACGGCACACTACCCCGATCACTACTAGCGAGCCCTGCGTTTCCGTCTTTTATAGTGGTCGTTTTGAACGTGCGGAATTTTTCGGTGACTCCCTAAGCAAAAAGAAATATTCCGAACATGTTCATTTTTTTCCAGCAATGTCATACATCTGAGGCTATTTTTAATGGCTCAGGGGATGAATCTCTTATTAAAAAGAAGACGCTCAATCATGCCATAATTATTTGAAAGCCAATAAATCGAGCCGCTCCAATGTGGTTCCAAGCCATGAGTTTGTTTTCCCGCATGGCCCTTCGTAGCCAGTATTTATATTGTAGTGTTCGTTTTTCTATTTGTGCTGTTCGCGCAAAGCTGAAATTGCCGTCTTGAATTAATCTCTGTAGAGCGGATATCCACTCAGCTGGAAGTGATGCTTCACGGGCACAGAAATCGCTTTTCGATCAACTTGAATGCAGTCAAAGCCGCGACTTCCGACAACTGTTAAGTGTACGGAGCTGCGCCGTTGCGAGCTCGAAAACTTCTAGCGCTCATCCCAGTTCTACAGGAACCGTAATATATTTAAGCAGTAAAATAAAGGATAGCGTTTTTTTTTTTTTCGATTTTGCCTGTCTTTTTTTTTTTTATGCTAAACTTCCATTATAAATATACGTACTTTCCGTCATACTTTCGTAGTGTTGTCTTTTCCCCAGAGCGCAATCGCTCTCGGGGACCGACAGTCACATTGGCCACTGTACGATAGGAGCTTACCGTTCAGACCAGCGTTCCAACATGACTATCCACACGTCGATCGACTGCACCTAATCCCTCAAGTGGTTTTAAACTCTTTAATGTAAAGCGGAATGTCATCCTGCGACACCCCGGCCCCTCCGATAACGGCCCGACCAGCGGCATCAATGCCCGACAGTTTACGTCATCTCATCTTGTTGTTACACCACTGATACGCGAACACACGGTCACATCGGCGATAATTCCAGTCTTCTGTTCACAACCCACAACACTGCCATCACGATGTCGCTGACACGAAGAAATACAGAACCACGTTGACGATGTTGCTGACACGCAGAAGAATCACGTTGAACGCCGGTTGGCACTCGGCACGGGACAACGGAACCGAACTCAGCACGGAAGGCACCCAGGCAGCCGGCAGGAAAACCTGCCTTCCTTGGACGCAGTTCCCGCGATTTCCATAACGTCGAAAACGTCGACACAGTTCCTCGTGGTTTCGCTGCTGTAGTTCCACGTGTGTCCCGCAAATTGGAGACGGCCGTCTTACCCAGTGTATGTAGCACTGCTGGCACTGCTCCGGAACTTCGCTGTTTCTAGCGGCTTCGTTAGCTCATTTGATAAAATTAGTGGTAAAAACGTCAATGAAACCAAAATGTTCTGCACGTTTGGACTAGAAGACGGAATTACAGGCGGCCTTCGCTGCCGCTGAAGCTCAATCAACTCATCATTACTTTATTAAACAACGTGCGCGATGTGCTCGAAAAACGAAACCGAAAGAAGATGGGTCGGGAGGGCGAAAGCTTTCTCCGGTCTGCCTGGAGGAGGAAAACGTCTCAGAGAATAATAAGGACTTTAATTTTCCTTTCTTCGGTCTGGGTTTGTTTATGTGTGTTTTGGTAAACAAAAATAAAAAAAAAACTTTACAAAAAAAAAAAAAAAAAAAAAAACCACTTTCCTGGGGATCGAATTGTTGACCACTTGGTCAGTAGCGCGATGTTCTACCCCTGCGCCAACTGAACAAGGAGGAACTCGCCCTCTTCCTTTCATCTGAACTGCCGTTCCTCCCTTCTCTGGGCAACTTGTCCGCAACAAGGAGGAACAGTCGCTTTTGCTACCTTTCTCCTCCCTTTTTTCTTAGAGTGCGACTATATATATATATATATCACCTAAAAGATATAGCCTGCTCATGATGTCATCGTTAGTGAGTCTCCTACCCGCCTCATTCGGCAAAAACGTTGAATCCCGACGGGAACATAGACGCATCTACACACTCTTAGAAAAAAAGGGGACCAAAAGGAGGTAAGAGACCCCCTTTACCATCCTCCTCCCGGCCAGGGGGGAAGCGCTCCGCTTGTTACCTCCTCAGGCGCAGCGGACACTAGCGCACTCTATTAAGAACGCGTTGCTACAAGGTGAAGTTCGCCGCGAGGGAGCAGCAACGAGGTAAATATTACCTCCCAGAGGGTGCACCCCCGTTTGGGTGCTGCGATTGACTGCGGAAAAGCGCAAACGAGTTCGCTAATTGGTCTCCTCGTATGACACGTCATTCTTCGCGCATGCGTGGGCGGGCGCCTGCCCGGTGCCGAGCCCGTTCCCCGCCGACGCTCTCCTCCGGTCATAACGGTCTTTCTTCTCAAACGTTCGGCGGAGGCGTCCCAGCGCAGGAACGTTCTTCATTGTTCTGTTCGGCTCAGTCTCTTCTTACGAAGTCACCGAGAGCGCTGCATTGACTTCAGCTGAATTTCTAAGTCGTGTGCACCGTATGCAGGTAGGAATATGTTCTGCCCGGGGCGACACTTTGCTTCGGTTATGACGGCCCCGGGAAGGAGACCCCCGGCTTCCCTAGACAAAGGGGTGGCGGACATGTTTTCACGTTTGAAGGCGTCGAGCGGTCGGTAAAATTAGTGTGTGGCGAGAACGCAGACACGGTTAAGACCATCGAAGTTCATAAAGAGCAAGAACTAGAATGACTGTCGCTTGGACTAGCGGACATTTAGAAGATTGACATACGCTAACCAGTGGCGTAGCCAGGAGCTTTTCCCGGTGTATGTGTGTGCGGGTGGAGGAAGGGGAGAGAGCGGCGGCCCGGCGAGGCCTGGAGCCGGGCGACAAGATGCCTTGTGAATCGGGGGTCGCCTACGTTTAAGGCGCGTTCACACCGGCGATGCGATCTAGTCGCGCGATCAATTTCATCGCAAAAGCGACCATCGCGGACAAAAAGCGACGCGATTTGAGCATTCGCTTGCTGACCCGACTTTGTGCGATGCGATTTAGTCGCGGAGCGGCTGAGCCAATCAACGGCGTTCAGAGCGATGAATTTTCGAGAAAAGACTCGCCGACGAAGGCGTTGGACTCGCTCATCGCGCACGCCAGTGGACCGTCTAATTCTTTTGCGATGCGATCTAGCCGCATCGCTTGGCTGCTTACATCGCCGGTGTGAATGTACTTTTAGAGCAGGAGGAGGTAGGTGGTTTTCACTTTATGTGGCCGTTGGTGTGTCGCGTTCGACGTTAAATTGAGGATATGATAAAATATTTGCATATCTCATAAGATTGTTGTTGTTATTTCTTTCGCAGAGAAGGAGCCGATCAGGCATTCATTGGCGGCACCGGCCAACTGGCGTGATTAATTCTCAACGTCGTTGATATTTGTAAGAGTCAGTGTTAAACCCCGACTTTTAGAATCAGTGTTTTTTTTTTAAATTTAACGAGGTTCAATAAACATTTCTGTAAATCTATAATTAATCTTAATTAATCTCTAATAAGGTGGTGAACTGGGCCAGTTCGTTGATGTTATACATGATGGGGAAAACAGCTCATAAAGCACGGACTACGAAGAACAAACACGACAGGATAGCACTGTCCTTTCGTGTTTGTTCTTCGTAGTCCACGTTTTTTGAGCTGTTTTCTTCATCGTGTACATTTAACCCCAAAGTGGATCATAGTTCCCTCCATAAGGAGAAAAGTTGAAACTAGGGATGTGTACTATTGCCCCGTGAATGGGGCAACTGTCCTCTCTATATGGAGCGAAAACCAGCCCCCCAGTGCAGGTGCCGTTGCCTCCAAGAAGAGGTAAAAGCAGCCCCCTCATATATGTCGTCTTCCCTCTCAAGAGGGTTGAAGTTTCCCCCTAAAGGAAGTAAAAGCTGACTTTGAAAGGATGCACTTTTAACCCCAAAAGGAACTAAGGTTCCCTCCAAAAAGAGTGTAGGTGCACTCCGTTCACCTGTACGCTGACAAGGCAGGGAAAGCTGCCACAACACCCGCCATCCCGCTAGCTTACGGTGCACGGAAATGATCCGTGGAATTCAGCAGACAAAGCAAGCGCTGCGCATGCTCAGTAGCAGCGTCTACCTCCACTACGAGATCCAGAGGCAAAGGAACCGATCTACGAAAGCTCCCTTTTAAAACGGGTCTTTTAAGCGGTGTAAAAGTCAAAAACAAATTACCACGGAGAGCTTTTTCCTGAAAAAACACGATGAAAGGCAATGGAAAGAGGCAGAGCCTACTCCGCGTTGTCTTCTTGATCATTATTTTTCCCTTATTTTATGTGCCTTCCACGGTTTTCAAGTTGTCCTACTGACAGGTCATATAAAAAATCGTTGTTTTTTTTCGGTTATACTCCTTTTCACGATGTTTTCTATTTTGTTGAACTTGTTATCTTTATGCTGCTGAATTGCCTGCTCATATTGCTCCCGTTCATTTATTATGTTCATATTTTTTTAGATAACGAGTAAATAAAGTAATCCATTACCAGGAATGGGCAGTATTTCAAATACAAATATTTGAAATACGTATTTCAAATACTTTGTGTATTTTGGATTTGTATTTAATTACAAATTGGGTAATGTATTTGACGTATGTATTTAAATACTAAAACATGGGTATTTCAAATACAATTGTAATCAAATACAATTTTGTGGGCGAAAATACATCCCTCGAATTTATTGTCACTGTCCAGAGCAAGAAGAAAACTATGTTCTGCGCCGAATGCAGTGTCTCTCAATCAAGCACAAGCGTTTAGTGACTTTGTGATTACGGTGCTAGTCCAGGGCAAGAATAGTGACGAAATCGACGTTCACACGCAGACTGGCTAAATAAGTGCCTGTGACAACTTGTGATGATTTCCTGCCTGATTTCCATCCATATTTTTGCCTCGAACAATCTAAATGCGCGGGCCGTCTAGATTTTCGTAAGTAATGCGAGTTGTAACAATAAAAAATTCTCTAGCTAGTGCTGCGCGTCTTGGTCGTCTCGGTTCTTTGTTGGTCTATACCAAAATGTAACCGACACAAAAAACTGCTTGAAGCTCTGTACTTTTTTCACGTATTACGTCCAAGCTGATTACATTTTTTTTTTTGTGATTATATTTCTATTACGTTACTAGAGCCTCCCACACTAACTCCCGAGCGTGCGATGAAAAATTAAAATGAGATACCCAGAAACCCGTTGCCGGTGCCCTGAAGTCGCTGACGCAACTTTTAAGGAATGTATTTGGAAAAGTATTTGGAGGAGACCAAATACATTTGTTTGTATTTGTATCTTGTAATTAAATGCTTTTTTTGGAAATGTAATTAGATTTGTAATTAAATACATTTGTGACAAAGTATTTTGTATTTGTATTTCGATGCATATTTGCATGTATTTTGCCCATCCCTCTCCATTACGAATATTTGTTAACGAAATTGCATTACAAATTACTGCCGCAAAGAAGTAATGCTGCAATTACAAAATTACTTGAAAAGGTAACGGATTACTTCCCAAGTCTGCCAGGTTGTAACACATCTCCCGTGATGCACCACGCTCTCCGATGGCTGACAGGTGGAAACGTGTATGCTGACTGGTATTCCAAGGGCATCATTTCGAATTATGCCACTCGGGGACTTCTCAAAGTATCTTTCTGGTGGCTTCTTGAGCTCCATATGACGCCAAAGGAGCAACTTGCAGCGTGAACCCGTGCAGAAGGACGACGTCTTCATCCGCTCTGTGGTCTCGGTCTTCCATTGGGCGCGTTCAGTAGCGCCTCCCTTGCCTCCGAACGGAGTCACTCGAGTGGGAGTCATCGGAGCGCCTACTGAACGGCAAAAAACCCGCGGCTCCAAACCTGCTTCTACGCAATTTCCGCTTCCTGCCCTGTGCCAGACGGTCTCCGAATAAACTGGAAGCAGACGATGGCGAGCACGATCGCTTTTATTCGATGCCGGTATTAAAGAAGTCTCGAAGAAAAAGCGGGTGACTGTACGCATCAGCGCTACTGTTCGAAGCGATGCAACGCGATCGAGCCCTTCGCTTGGCGGTGCAAAGGCTTTTTTTTTCACTGGTGTGTGTGTCTAAAAGCTATTTAGAACGAATGCAGTTCTTAAATGTCAACTTATTTTTTTTTTCTTTTGACAGAAAACCTGCGCGCCCCCTGAAAGCCGACCAAAAAACGTCGTCAGCACACGCAAAATATAGAGCTCGGCGAATCTACGCCGCCGGTTGCGATACTTTTATACGGCCGTACGTTTGTTTTGCCCTTCGTAACGAACTTCCTATAAAATGTATTCGTATACACACGGGAAGTTTGGCCGCACTCGGCGATCAAGGTTTTGTTGGCCGAAGCGAGCCTCAGCGAACGTGCACCCCGGTTTAGCTACGCAAACAAAACATGAATCGGTATGAGTGTACAACCGGCTTCCAAAGTCGCGTTCATACCCTGTCTTGCTCTGTTGAGCGCGAACAGGACTTTCGTCAATATTACCGAGTTTCCGTGCAACGGCGATCAAGACACGGCATCAAATGAACATTTACGTTGTTTATTAACATATTCCAACCCAACGAAATACGGTCCAATGCATTTGCTGAAAGAGCCTTACCTCAAAAAGAAATTCAAACGCGTTATTCGTCTTACCTTGAGCACTTTTCATTAACAAAAGCGAGCAAACCTCACATTCGCGACAGAACCGAAGCAGCTTATCCCGCCATTTTGTTTGTTATTTTCTCTCTTAGCGCCGGAAATCGTCACCAGTTAGGAAATGACGTCAACTTTAGCTCCTTTGACTCTACGTGCACCGTCTCCAGACTCGGTGCTTCGGAGCTTGACTCCGAAGCCCCGGAGTTACGTGCACCGGAAGTGACTTTTGACCGTTCAGTGGAAGGAGTCAGTAACTCCTTGACTCCGGGGCCGCTACTGAACGCGCCCATGGTCTCCACGAGCACCGACGCCGAACAAATTAAACACGTTTTCGAAATGTCCACGCTCTTTCCGGCATGCTGCTTATCATTTCTAAATTCAAAACAGCTGTTGAGAAACAGCAAATGAAGGTGATGCAAAAACCAGCATTCAAATTTTGCCGCACCCTCCGCTGGGGTGACGTCCTATGTTGTATAACTTGCAAGTCGAGCAGGTAGGCTAAAAAAAAAACACAATAGTTCGCGCACACTTTTTTTGTTTGTTTTGTTTTGCTGGCGGAAATTAACTAGCATTCCTTACTCCCCATCAGACTTCCTGAAACCCTGTAACCCGTCGCGGACAAGCTATATCCCCACCCTCATATTGCCCAATATTACAACATTTGACGTCGCGTTTTCAGTGTCACCCGTAGACCCTTTCACCGTCTCAGACCGAAATTTAATACTTCATAACTTCGCGAAAAAAAAAATGCTCGTACGTCGTGTTTCTTTTTTTTTTTTTTTTTAATCAAATGTATATAATAATGTGTTAAACTAACTATGAGGCGAACCAGTGACTATCAAAACGGACCTTTTCCCAGAAGCGTTCTGCGCACGCGCGAGCGCCCGATGCCAAGCGGAAGAAGTCGGCACGAAAAATCGAGGAAATTCGAAAGGAGGCTGTGGATCAGCGAGTAGAACACGTAATTGCAGCATATATATAATTGTGTTACACAAAAAAAGAAAGTGGACGGAAACACCCGACGTTTGGGTGGACGCCACGGACGCCCCTCTTTAAAGTCGCGTTGGGCACGCGCCGCAGCTCAGAGAGCGAAGAAACTGGTAGTGTAGCTCCCATTAATGATTGGTAGCGCAGGTAGGTCACTTCCTCGATTTTTAGTTTGTGCAGCCACCGTTTGGTGCCGTCGGTATGTGGAAAAGGTCCATTAGCTCGGGTTTAAAGAGAACCTCGCTCACGTCCAACTTTCCTGTCGTGGGGCGGTCTCCCGTAGCAGGCGACGTAAGACACGTTGAAGTCGCCGAAGCCGAAGTTCACGTGGACCTCGTTGCTGGACGACTGCACGATGACGTCGTCACCTTGCGTCGTGTTCTTCAGTCTCGCGAGGAGTCGGACTTTCCCTGCGGGGAGTCGAGATGGGACTTGGGATTCAAGTCGTTCAAAGCAGCGGCCACACACCGCTAATGCATCGTACAGAACAGTCTGTAGACACTGCCTGAAGCATTCACTGTAGGACTGCCACACTGGTCATACAACAAAATTACAGGAGGACACTAAGGGCCGGTTGCACCAACGTCGCTTAGCGCAAAGCGGAGCTTAGCCGGGAACTTAAGCTTAGTTTCGGTTTCGTTCGGTTGCACCAAACTCGCTTATCGCTAAACCTAGCACTAAACTACGCTTAACTTAAGCGCTCAACATTGGGCGCTTTGCTTCTGGTTGTTTCTTAATCCTGGATTAAAAAGATGGCGGCTGGTTTGTCACGGTCGACGCGGTGGACGAAATTGGTTGTGCAAAGTGTTTTAGGCTATATCAGCGTGAAAGTCTCGACAAAATGACTTTCGATTGTGACAAGGATGCAAAATATTGTCGCGTGAAGTGTTTATCGACCCCTGTTTTCAAGTTGGCTCTCCACTTTCAGGGCGTGTTAGCCCTAACCGAGAAACGTACGGAGCTGTGGGGCTCACGTCTGTATTCCCGTTGGTTCTTCTGTCAACGAGCTTATTCGTATGTACTTACTAATTTTCGCATAGCTGTAACGTATTGTTATTTACCACCTTGTTTATTTACACTTGCAGCGCGTATCCTTCGATCTGATCAGCGCGTTGAATAGTGGCGGTACATGATCTCGGCGATCAGCTGATTGTCGACACCTCTGCCGTTTGCATTAGATTGCGGCGCTTTTAAGTAATAAAACAGCGAAAATTCAATTTCTTTCGTTTTCTGAGTTTTGAGACAGTCTTCAGTGAATTTTCCTTATCTCGCGAGTAGAATCTTGGCTTCAGAAAACTGTATCGTTCCATAACTGTAACTTTTTTGGTGATCGCATTTTTTTTTTTTTTATATATACTTTGCTTTATATCTTTCGTTCGTTTCCCGAGAACGAGATACTGTTGTTTCCGAGTTGTGCTCTGTGATGGTGTTTTCCCTTTACTTTTGTCGTTTGTTGTCATTGTGACGATGGTTGAGACTATATACCGGAACACGTTTTCAATAAAATTCAGTTGAAAGTTGCGCCTTGTTGTGTCCTCCGTAACTTTTTTGGTGATCGCGATTTTTTAGGAATATTTTGCTTTATATCTTTCATTCGTGGTGACGACAAATCGTAACGACTACTATGTTAGATTCGTTCATTGCTGTATCGGGGCAAGCTGGGGCAGGTGATGCGAAGAGACGACCGTTCTTATCGGCACGATGTGATGTACTAATGGAAGTTTTTTTTTTGTTTTGAACTCGACAGTGTGAAACTGAAGTCCGTTTGAGGCTGCAGCGGATGTTCAACGACGGTACAGTGCAGTTCTGTCACCTTGCTGATAGCAACGAGTACCGTCGATGCAAGGACTCTTGACCTGACCTCTCGACGACTTCTATTCGAAGATTTCCGGGCATTTTCGCAGCTGCCGTGGCGAGTTCGTCACTGTTTTGAACTTCATCGGTCTCAGGCTTGACTTGGTTTTAGTAGTCATCTTACCTGCCTACTTATATCCATGATGTTTTGTCTTCAGCGATGTAGCGAGTAGAGTGTCCTTCTCGCGTTCGGTGAGATTTGGGGCCCCCGATGGCTCCTTCGCCTCAAAATGTGAGCACGAAAACTACTACCACTGTCAAAATATCCTGTTATCAACCGATATTAAACACACAATCAAAGATGTAAAGAGCATTCGTGTTTATTTGAAGCTTTGACTTCTGTTATTGAAAGTTAAACGAAAAAATGATTGAATTTGGAGGCCTTTAATTTGTTACTCACCGAAGAAATACAGCGAAAAGCAGACGCCGACGACGACTACTACGGCAGTTTTTCTTTTTTCTTTTTCTTTTTGTTTACATCGCGTGATTCCTCTCCGCCAATCGTATTCGTCGCTCTGAGCGTTCCCTAGTTTGCTCTGTTTGTCCCTAGATTCCCTACGCAAATCCAGCGTTTAGCTAGGGGCGCGTCTGTAAAGCCGGCTTAACGTTGGTGCAACCGGAATTTAAACCCGTGCTTACCTAAGCTCGGTTTAGGGCGCTAAGCCGGCTTAGGAAAGCGCCGCTTTGGGTTAAGGTAAGCGGCGTTGGTGCAACCGGCCCTAAGACTGCTTACGTGTAGGAATGCGAAAGCATTAAGGCCCGTTCACACTGTTGCGACCTCTTAAACCTGGGTTCCTTAAAACTTCTTAAACCAGAGAACACACTGGCGCCATCTATTGGGAAGCAGTGTAAACTCGGCGGTCCGGCATATTTTTTTTTTTTTTTTTTTTATTTCTCGCGCAATATCCTTTCTTTTTTGGCTCGAAAGACTTTTGTCAATGTTATAAACGAGCCTTTCTATGGGTATTACGCACATTTGTCCTCGGAAATCCCGCAAAACCTTCGCTCTTGTGAAATGCATTTCCAGGGTCACCGCATAGATGGCGCCACAATGCCAGTGTGTTCCCTGATTCTAAAGACATTTAAGAAGTTTTAAGAGATCTCGTCTCTCTCACTCGTACTCGGTCGCAAGAGTGTGAACGGGCCTTTATTGTCCCGCGCGGTCGTCTCACAGTCCAACGCACGAAGCACACAACGAGCACAGATGAAGTCCGAAGCGCCCCTTTTGCACACGGCGCTCCGGCGGTGACATCACGCACCCCCACTGCGCAGGCGCGGCGCCCCCGCCGGCTCCACGGCTTTCGTAACGAAGCATTTGCGTTGCTGTGCTTTTCTTTGTGTTTTATTTCTGAGGCGCGTCTGCCCCGACCTTGAGCGGCGCGTGCTTGATGACGTATTTTTATGGTCATCTTTCGGGGACAACGCCGACGCCTTGTCGCGTGAGGGGACATATAGGGCTTTCGCCTTAAAACTTCTGCAGACATGTTCGAATCGTGTAAAAAGCAAACATGCTCCGAACACGCATGATGTGTATCCGCAGGTAATCCTGTGGTCATATGTCCGCAACGAACACCGTGTTTTTTGTACAATGTACGAGCAGTATCTCTGCGACCATCTCTCGGTTGCGCCAGGCAAATGGTGCATATAATAGAAACAAACAGTTATCGTTTCTTTTCCTTTACCAAAATAAGTTTTTTTTTTATTTATGCGGTGCTTTTATTTTGTTTTCAGGCACGTTTGTGGTAAATCGTAGCGCGATACGTTACCAAGTCTATTTATGCGGTCGCTTTAAAGGCTTCACCCGAATTCGGGAACCCGCTGTATAGTTAGACACGAGGAAGATACATAAAAAGGGGGGACGGACAACGAAGACTCCGTCCCCCCTTTCTATGTATCTTCCTCGTGTCTAATTACCGCTACCAACACGCTCGTTTTGTTCTTAAACCGCTGTATAGATTTCCGTGCGTATGCGTGCGGTTTGCGTGCGCATTTCGTTTCTGCACAAAGCTCGTGCTGTTTAGACTGATAAGACAAACATGATTCTTCAGCTTGTGTTTCTTATTACCATTTGCTTCTCTCTGCACACAATAACGTGGCTCAAAGCTACGAAGATGCATCTTACAAGTAGCGTTGGTGCAGCGGCGGTACCGCAAGTACTTCAAACACCCTGACTATCTGAGTGGCGACATAGAAAGTGGCCAGCCTCACGGCCGCGTGTGGTTTTGAAACGCCGCCACTAGATGGCGAAAGATTCACCGAAGAGTATGTTTACTTGAACACTGGTCACCACTCTGCTTTTCCAGATGGGGAAAACCGAGTGTGTTCTAAACAAACGTGAATATGTTTTACTTGCCCTAATCAATGTGTCAGCGTACCAAAATATGAGCCGCTCGAAATAAATATTTAAATGTTGAGAACGATGCCGATACGAGGATCCCATGAGACGCAAACTTTCTCACGGAGGAGCGCGCTTTCATCCTCAACTTTTACTTATCAGCTAAGGCAATATCATTTTCGCTTTGTCGATGTTCCCTTTTTTTTTTAAGAAAAACTGCGTCTTTCTCCGCGTTTTGGGGGGAGGGGGGGTGCAAAGTTGGTAAGATGATGTCACAAAACTTTGGTCACGGAAGTGACGTCACTCAGACGTCACTGCTGCTGCCGAGAACCGCGCAGTGCGCACGCGCGTTCTTTCTTATCTGCTGGCTTCCTCGTTTGCTCGCGTCAACGCGTCGATCTTCTGTCTGATTGAAACGGTGATAGACGGCGCTCCTGCAACCGTGATTCTACAATCTTCGTACTGGACAGTGGCCGAGAGGCCGAGTTCGTGGATCTCGTGTGCTCTGCCGCACGGGCAGTTCTCGTGACTCTCTCGTGCGACTCGGCGAAGCGGTAAAAACAATCGCGCGCAATTCCGCGTATGCGCCTAGCCTCCTTTATACTGACAAAGCCTGGCAGATCGCCACAAGAAGCGGCCGCCGAAATGGAAAAGGTGGAGTGGCAGACAACGGATGAAAGGAGAGCCACGCGACTGGCGCCCCGCTGCGGCGAGACGCCGAAACACACGTCTCCCGAACGTTGGAATGTCCGCTCGTGCTCCTCGCGCTACCACTTCTTTTCCCGCCGGGTTTGAAAACCATGTTTCGTGTCCTCGCCGCTGCAAAAGCTGTGCGCTGACGCCCAGGTTCCCCGAGAAATGGCTCTTTGACGCTCTGTGCTACCATATCCCCGCGCTCCAAATCTCGTCGAACTGCCAGGCTTTGTGAATATCGAGGAGGCCATGGCCATAGACTATATTACTTTATGTATGAGCCTCGGAGATGGCGGCGCGGGTGCTTGAACATTTGCCTCTATACCGGACTCCGAACCACGGGCATTCGCTTCTTGCGCACCCGAGATCGTCACGTGGCACGAACCCGTGGACGCTTCTTCACCAGGGGCCGTAGTTCTATGGAAATTCATGCAGCAAAGTAAACCTACGCGCTGACCCATTTTTGGTTGGTATTTATTTCCGAGGGTCGGGGCATAGTTTCCTGCGATAACAGATAAAACTTCATGCAACTCTGGCAAAAGGGCTGATGGGCGCTAGGTGGCGCAAGCTACCGCCCATCATAAAAGGTACACCCATTAGCACCCATCATTCATCCATCCAAGTGGCGTCATACTGAAGCGTAAAAGGCAAGTCTCGTGCTTTTTCTCCCCAAACGTCATGTCTAGTGGGTCCACACAGCGTCATTCGGCGTCTCAGAACGAGCCCAACATTAGCACGCGGCGACAACAAGAGCGACGCGCCTGCCCAACACCACCTGGACAGAAGGCCTCCACACGCGTCATCATAGTCAGATCGATCGAGGCCAGAGATTGGGCACGAGTGCTGCGTCAGTGTTCGGCTGCGGCTCGTGGCCAATCAGCGCGTCGAAGGTCGGGCTCGGGTCCGATAGCCGACCGAGCGCGATCCGACTGTGATGACGTTTCATAGAAGAAGAGGAAACCATGCGGAGGCCTTCTGTCTAGGTGGTGTTGGCCTGCCGCTTTGCAGCGTCTCTTGCCGAACTTCAGCGTCAGCTTAAGGCGGGTCGGCAATCTACTAACGATGACGTCACGAGCAGGCCTAGATTTATTTTAGGTGGTATTGCTCTGGCCGGAACGTGGCTCGAAATCGCCAAAACACGAAACAAAAACAAACAAAAAACAGCTTATAAAAAAAAAAAGTTTATTTTTTGGCGGAACACAAAGGCCAGTCAAGCACGGCAAAGAATAGGGGGATCTCAGTGCATGACGAAGCTCAGAATACCGTTAAACTTGTAAAATGCGATTTGAGCAGGGACAATACGCGAGTGAAACTTCATGCTCATCCTCCCATCGCGCACGGCACTTTTCAGATCCAAAGGCCCGTTCACATGCACCTGCGTTTCCTTACGACCGGGCTCTTGCGATCTCCTTCGACGAGAGAACGCACTGGCACGCAGGCGCCATCTATGAGGTCACCCGGGAAGTAGTCTCTAGAGCGAAGGTTTCGAAGTATTTGCGAGATGAAGAAATGTGCGGACTATTTATAAGAAATATATATATATATTTTTTTTTATTTTCCATTTACAATGGTGGAGGCCGAGAAAAAAAGCCGCACGAAACGGCTTGACGAGCTCTCGGCCCCCGAACTACATTCTGCAGCAGTGACAAAGCAAAAGAGAGACAAGGAAAAAAAAAAAAAAAAACACGTTGAAAACACACACGCCAAAAACACACACACCAAAAACATTAGTCGTCTACAACAAAATGGTACATCAACGCACGCAATTCTTTCATGCTTATAGTGCCAACGTCAACATCACTGTGATTAAAACAATTAAGCAGTTTAGATAATTTATAGCACAACATTTCTTTTCCTAGGTTCAATCGGCAAGTAGGTACATTCCAGTAATCAGGTTTTCGAAATTGATAATTGGGGACGCGTTGGTTTAAACCAGACAGTTCAATTATATAAGTACTGTTACTGCACAATTCACATTTATACTTTGTAGACAGCCTATAATTATACATGTTGTGGATACTTAATATATTATAAATTCTGAACAGGTTTTCTGTATGCGAGCAGAATGGCACATTGGCAATTATACGTAACATTCGTTTCTGAAGTAAATGTATTATCTTAAGATTTGTTGCCGTGGTAGTACCCCAAACTAGGTGGCAGTAATTTAAATGAGCAAAAAATAGAGACTTATACAGTAATAATTTAACCGACCTCGGAAATATATATCGATTCCGATATACCAGACCTACAACTTTTGCTAATTTATTTTTTAAATACTCAATATGATAGTCCCATGACATGTTTTGTGAAAACACAACGCCAAGCGTTTTGAATGACTCAACCAATTCAATATTTACTGAGTTTATATAAATGTGTTCTAATGGAGAAATAACTTAATCTTTTTGGCCTAAATATCATAGCTTTTGTTTTATTGGTATTTATTTTAAAGCGTTTTTATCGGTCCATTGTCCTAATTTATCTAGTACTGTGTTGGCCATAGATATAAGTTGGTCTGCCTTATCAGCAGTAAAAAGAAGCGTCGCATCGTCAGCATATATAACAAATTTAGTTGTCTGGTCAATGTTCACAATATCATTGACATAAGCGTTAAAAAGAAAAGGTCCCAAAATACTGCCTTGAGGTACGCCCGATATTACCGATTTAACTGTGGAAACGAAAGTATTACAACAAACGTATTGTTTGCGGTTTCCAAGATAGGATTGAAGAAGAGTTAAAGCTTGTCCGCGAATTCCATAATATTCCAGCTTTTTCAATAATAGTTCATGGTTTAGAAAATCAAAAGCCTTTGTAAAGTCAACGTAAATACCAAGTACTAGTTTTCGTTTCTCTAGATTTCCCAAAATAAATTCTTTCTGTTCAAGTAAGGCAAGTTCAGTTGATTTATGCTTTCTGAATCCAAACTGGGATCTTGTAATTAGCTTGTGTTTATCAAAAAAGTTCGACAAGCGGATATGAATAACTTTTTCAAGTCCCTTTGAAAAGAGAAAAGAATAAACGTTTATAACCATAAAAAAATATGCGCAATAAAAAATACGGAAAATATACGGTTTTGCGTGTTCCATAGCTACCTAATAGATGACGCTAGTGCGTTCTCCCGTCGTGATATCCCAAGAGGATTTAAGGCACTCGGTCGTAAGCAATCGCAAGTGCGTGAAACAGCCGTAACCGTTAATATGCGTTTAGGATGCGTACCGTTAGAGAAGCGTTCTTCAATTGTGAGGCTTCCTTTTGCCGGGATAGTGTCCAATTTCCCGGCAGGAGTCCGTTGTACGTAGACGCTGTACACGTATCCTGGGTCGCTGTACAGCCACGCCGACTCGGTGAACTGGACGGCCTGATAACCCCCGGCGATGCAGGCTGCAATAGAGATTGACGTAGCAGACGCCGAAGACGTTGTGGATATTATGCGGAACGCAAGTTCGTCTGCTTCTTTTGCAAGGGATGTGTTGACGTCAGAACCCCGAGCACTGATTGGCTCTGATTGAAGGATAATGGGTAGACCTCAAGGCAGCTTGCTTTGAGGTCTACCCACCATCCTACAATCAAAGCCAATCAGAACCCTGTGTCGTTCTGACGTCACCGGAACCCCCGTACAAGAAGCAGACGACGTGCTCTCCGCATTAGTATAGCGTTTTTGCGTTCAGCGAGCCATCCGGAAGCGAGCTCATAAACCAGCATGCGGATAGCAAAAAGGTTGATATAGGACATAGGAAAAATACGGCCTCCGATTTTGCTTTACTTTTTAACATTTCACTATCCCCCGCAATTGAGCTCTTAAAATAGACAAAAAAAAAGCTCCTGGCGAACCTACAATCGCGGGCCCAATTTTAGGTATGTACGTTTGGAATTCGAATTTCGCGAGGCTTGCCAAAATGTGTCGAGGCTCGTTCACGCAGTTGCGTCGACTGCGTTGCGCCGCGTTGCGTCGTGCAGTGCGGTCGCCATGGCAACAGCTCGACGCAAGCAGTCCAGTGTGAACGAGCCTTTTCTCCTTCCAGCCGCACACTGCATATGCGCGCTTCGAACACACGCGTAAGGGTGGTAACCATTCTGCTTAGCCACGCACGCTGCCATGTACACACAATATCCCGTGCAAATAAATTACAATTACAATTTCATGTCTGCGGACAGTTTTCGTGTGACCAGCGGGACAGGACTGTCCATACGAGGAACAAACACGCCTCACGCAGACATGATGACAGATAACACCGTCCTCATGTATATACAGCCAACACCGTGTCCTTTTTATGATCATGGCCTCCTCTCAACTCACAAAGCCTGGCAGTTCGACGACGGATCCATGGAGTGCTCGGTCGCAGATTTGGAGCGCGAGGATCTGGTAGCACAGAGCACCAAAGGCCCATTTCTTGGGGAACCTGGAAATCAGCGCGCAGCTTTTGAAGTGGCGAGGGCCCGAAACACACTTGTTCGCTCGGGAGAAGTGTATTTCGGCGTCTCGCCGCAGCGGGGCGCCGGTCACGTGGCTGTCTTCTCATCCGTTGTTTGCCGCTCCACCTTTTCTATTTCGGCGGCCGCTTCTCGCGGCGATCTGCCAGGCTTTGTCAGTACATACGAGGCTATGATATGAATCGATGTACGTGCAGTGTGAGGGCGGTGGCCGTGCCGTTAAAGGTACGGGAGCACGTGCATGAACCACGGAGTAAAGCTGCGCACGCCGCGCTCCTCTTCTCGTCGATAATGCCGCAGAAAGTTGTCCACGGGCATAAAAAGGCTATCGAATCCTTTGAATTTGTCATCCGTGTCTCCCTGTTAAGCGGCGATCACTTCATAAAACACAGGACGGATGTGGGTCCATCCTCGGTAATGCTTGCCGGCCAACATTGGCTAAGGTACCGATCGAGGTGCAGTCGTGTGTCCTCATTTCAACTGAGCCTTCTGTTTTTCCGGCCGCGAGGACGCCAATAAAACTACCCCGCACGTCAGGCACGCCCACTTGCTCTAAACCCCCCAAATCCATTTCGGAGGATTAGTACACCAACTGGGACGTAAAACGTGCGGGGCAGACTATACCTGGGTTTAGCCTCCGAAACATCCTTAGGGATTAATGAGTTGGAGAGCGAGGGTTTAAGTGCGCTCTCCTTCGACCATTTCAATCGTCCGCGTCGTTTCTCATTATAATCCGTTCGTGCCCCAGTTGACAGTGCAGTGAGAGCTACGCCTTCGCCCGACCGATCAGCCGCCTCCTTCTGATCACGTGACCCCGGTCTCTGAGCGTGCGCATGGGCGGAAGCGTGATCACGTGACAAGAGCGTCGTACGACTAGACCAACGAACGCGTATACCTTCCGCCGCACTGTCAGTTTAGGGGTGGGCGGGGTCTAGTTGGAGTACCGCTGTCTTGCGCAATAAAAGTAATCCTGCGGGAGTAAATATAGAGAGTAAATGTAGGAGTAAATGGAGAGGAGAGGCACCGGAGCGTCTTTTGTCGGTGGGGGAGTCGTACGTGTTCCGAATGATTGGACGTCATATCCGCTGAGGCCCGTTTACGGCAGCAGAAAAAGCCTCTTCAAAATGCCTCGATCCTAATGGCGCATATGGCAGAGGCTCAAACGCTAAGCGAACTGGCGGGTGGAAGTTATTTCTTGTTTGTTTTTCTTTTGTTTTTAGGCTCAAAACATTTATAAACAAATAAGCAGCTCAAACCAGATAGAGACGGATGGGGGCACGCCTATAACAAGGACTGGTGCTATAACTTTTAACTTTTATTACCACATCTGCTTTATTGCGGTGTTAATTAAATCAGGCATGTGAATGCACGCAATTGTTAGTCTAACAATAATGAAACGTGACAAAAATTAAAAAAAAGGTACGTACAAAAATATTGCGCATACGTAACAAAATTGTTATGCATAGAGTACGTTTTCGGGTTGGCCGGTAAATCTAGGAGCAATTGCTTATGTACCGAGACACACCGCGACTTCTGAGTCCTGACGCGGGCGCCATTCGTCGTCGCTAGGTCACGTGACGTGATTAAGTACGCCAGCCAATGGAATTAAGGGGCAATCCGCGTAGGAGCCCTGGTGCGGCGATATAGCGGCAGCAATGGCCACGAAAATTTTAGATGTACGAAGTCAAATAAATCTATAGAGTTAATATAATAATCTAGAGGGAAAGGTCCCATGCGTTGGGGGGTTATAGACGCGAAGATCGGCGACGGTCCCTGTTGGCGGTTCCCGATGGATCCATATCGCCGGCAACGCGTTGATATGCGTAAAGATGCTTCAAAACATCACCTGCAAGGTATTCACATTGTTTTTTTTTCTAGCTTACTTTGGAGTAAAACACCGGAATCGCGCATTACATGAAACTAAATAAAGCTGATAAGCACCCGGGCAACTTCAGCTCGTCGCGGCAAAACAAACACGCCTAAACTTTCTTCCGCTTTCTTTCTCCGCTCTTCTGTCGCTTTCTTCGTCGTTCTTTCTCTCAGGACTGCCGATGTTATCGCCCATTATTTGTCACGTCCTACTCCCATCTTTAGTCCCTCCCTGTAGAAAGCTACCTCATTTAGCAGGGGAGACATTTCCCGTCAAATTTGGCGTTAACAGTTACCATCACCAAAAACGTACTTCATGTTCCAGCGGGAACGTCTCAGTGGCTGAAGTGATTCCATTGAGACCACTCTCATTGGACAAGCAAGAACCTAATCTATCTTCTCATTGGCCGAGCTGATTAAATGGAAACCAATGATTGGCGATTGGAGTGCGCATCCAGGCGCCCTGTTTTGGGGGCACCGCGGTGAAGTACGCACATTTAGGATTATCCGAGAGTGAATGTTCAGCTCTGAATTCACTTCAATTTTTGTATTCTTGTAATTCCTGCAGTTTACAGCTCATTTGAGAATAAAGAATCTTCTGACCTGCGTAGCGTTTGTGTCTTTGTAGAGTTTTGTCGGAAGCAGTATCCCATCTGAAACAAAAACAAAGTGAAAAGGGTTTTTAATACGGCTTCGAGTAAGTGACCATTGTAAAAATGCTACCTGCTCCTCTTTTTTTTTTCCTTTTTTTCCTAAGCATACTTTTGTTTTAATTACCGAATATATACGCAGGAAGTGTAAAAAACTACTAAATTTTTTTCTTATATAAAGAAATAAACGCTTGGAATAAAGAAATCCTTCGGGATAACGTTATCGGCCGAGGCGGATGTCAGATTACGAAAAGTAAAGTGACAATTAGCAAATTAATCATCTAAATTTTCCAAATCATATTTTTCTTTTCTGTTTTTATATATAATGAATTTGTGACCAGTTATCAGAATATGCCCGAAATGCTGTTAGAACTCGGATAACTATAAATGTCGCTCCACGCTGTTCTCCGGCAGATCGAAGCTGCGGGGAGATACCGAAACAATGAGCCAAAAGAGCGACGACGGACCCGGAAACAACGGGTCGGTCTGACAGCGTCGCGTTATCCAATGGTCTCGTGGTCGTAAAAAAGGCACGCCACCTGTCTCTTTCGGCGCGAAGCTTTTGTCACCTTTTTTGAGACCTTGGATTTATTATGATATACTCTAATTACAGTCGGCGAGAGGTTAAAAATTTAGTAGAAGCTTGGTTTCTCTAGCGCGCGCTAGTTTCCTTCCGCCGGGATTTCGCTGTGCGTACGCCGAAGTACTATCAAAGGCAAAAAGCTCGCGGTGTAAGCGACGCATCTAGCTGCAAAGAGCTCGCGCTGGGGGCGGAGCATAGGGGGACCCAAACGTATTAACTTCTTTTTGCTGGTTCCTCCGCACGACGTTCGCCGAGCGCAAAAAGCTCGCGCTTGTAGCACATGTTTTGGTAAGACCCCGTTAGGGTGAGATAAGGTATAATAATAATAATAATACTTTCAGTCAGTTAGCCAGTCCCCCCTGGGTATCACAGTGTTTCCGGTGTTGACGAGAAATCTAGCCAGTGTAGTCTAACTGCTAAAGTGCAACGTGCATAATGCCATAATGGTTACTCGAACACACGCCGGTACGATGCTCACTCAAATCCCAATGTGCAGGGATCGAACCCAGGGTGCCTGGACTCTGCAGAGCAAGCTTTCGCCGCTCCACGTGCTCCGAGCTGCAGTACGTACACTCGACCACCGATACTTCGGAACCACAGTCAAAGCTCCCTACCGCGCGCGTGTAGCCTTCGCGGTTATTCCAGGTTAAGGTGAGACGGAATGTAGTAAGGCTTATCCGAAAGTGCTCACCTTGCCCACACGGTCGACACGAGGAACACGACCACTAGAGGCACGAGCAAAGCAGCGGTGAACGCATGGAAGACCGGCATTTGTGAACGCCGTCCGCGCGGAAGCTTGTTTGCGGCGCAGAAAGGCTCGTTTCCCTTGAAACGGGCTCCTCTCCAGTGCCATTATACGACGTCACTGCCTCGGAAAATTTATCGAGACACCAAACCTGTTTGCACGCAACTTTCCCCGGGAATGAAGGTCTGACCGGAACAGCTGACGCCAATGAACTCTGCGTCACAATCTTGGAGAATCTGTTCCTGATTCGTTTTACGTTCCTGAAAGAGTGGCGCGCGTTTTTAATTAAGTTGAGTTCATATCGCTGAGCGACGAGGGAGTTTTATCTGGCGGCTGTTGGCGACGTGCGCAACCGAAAGCGTCGCTGTGGTCGGCCTTCTACGATTGGCCGAACGCTGACTATGACGTCGGAAAGGGGATTTATCATCGACGCAAATAAGAGGAATGAAAGAACTTTAATTTTAACGGTGCTTGGCAGTGTTCCTTTGAGAGCGCAATGATTTCAAGCTTCCACCATACTAATAACAAACACCATCGAACTTGTTTTTCGCAATGTAATGACGTCACAAGGGGGAACCATAGGACGGCGCCACCAAAACATCTCGCCGCTGCTGAGCGCCTGCTTCCGCAGTTCTTTGGCCACGTGCATTCCACACCATCATTATTGTCGTTTTAGCAGCCTATTAGTCAATGTGAGCTCGTTCTGAGCATGAGCTTTAAATGACGCCCTCAAATATTGCGTCCAGTGAATTCACTGGACGCCATATTTGAGGGCGATGTTTAGAGGGCATGCTCAGAACGAGCTCACATTAATAGCCTGTTAAAGGGCAACTCCGCTTAATTTCAGAAATTTTTAGATAGTGGCCGATTTTGCTTTTTGAAGCACTCAAAAACAATCCCCGATCCTTTGTGTCGCGAAAAATAAAATATTTTTCGTGTAATTTTACTCTAGCCATGATCACAAACCGAAACCGAAACGGTGGCAAAGCCGGACAACATTGTATATTCGGCATCACTAAGCATGTACACCCACGTGATATACAAGGGAAGAAGGAGCTCCCCTCTTATCAGGATCCTCCTTTGTGCCTCCTGGATTAGCACAGGCGTCGCTATTTTCCTCCCAAAAGATTATAAAAGATTAACCTGCCACTCAAAAATCTTACAAAAGCAGCTTCCCTCTCCTCCTTTTACTTGGTGTTCAAAAGTATGCGATGTAACACAAGCCGCGCTCAACGAGGCGATCGGCTTACCAGTAGTATCAATAGTCGAGCGCCGGGCCGGCCGAGCGCGTCACTCACGTCTTTCACGGCGCTGGCGCCACCCGTGCTCTCCCCAAAAAAGAAAACAAAATTGAAAAAAAAAAAAAAAAAGAAGCTGTACATGTTTGATGACGTCGCGGACGTGCCGGGAGAAGGAATTTGGAGGAAGCGGAAATGCAGCCGGGCAGTGTTGTCTGGCCCGCACGTCTCATCCAAAACCAGCGGATTCGTGCTTGTCAAACTTTGACAGCGATTTTAATGAACTTCTAGGCGGAATTCCGTCGTAATATTTGCCATGGGGGTTTTGTAGATGATAACAAAGAGAACTGTATAGTTTTGCACTACTGGAAAAGAAGCGGAGTTGCCCTTTAAGACCGGCAACCTTGATGGTGCTAAATGCACGCTCCAGAAGGACTGCGGAAGCTCGCCGTCAGCACGAGCTCAGCAGCAGCGCACACGAATATGGCCGCCAGTGAATACTCCCTATACATACTCTGCTCATCTGAAGCCAAAGCTACAAGCGCGAGCTGGCCCGCGCTCGTGGCTTTGAGACGTGCATTTCTAGCGAGAGTGCTCGTTCTGCGGAGGAGACTTCAAAGCAGAGGCCTCGAGCTCTCGCTGGGGCAAATCCGAGGGGGCGACGGGGGCGGCCGCCGGGCCGCCCCCCCCCCCCTCCCAAACAAAGCTGCCCCCCCCCCCCTTTTCCCCTTCTCGGAGGGCGATTTTACATGGGTGGGCCGCCGATGCCAGTGGCGTACCAACATGTTTTTGAGCGGGGGGGCAAACCACACCCCTCCCCCCCCCCCCCCCCCAGGGCCGACGCGCTGCCCTTGCTATCCCTTGGGCGCCGCCGGCCAGTGTTTGCCCTGCCCAGTGGCGGCTGTTTCAGGGGGGGCAAAACACATGCCTTGCCCCCCCACTCTGACAACTAGGAAGGCAAGCGCCCCCCTTGCCCCCCCCCCGGGTTGGTACGCCCATGGCCGGTGTTTCAGATAAGGCTTTCAAGAAGTCCTACGGTGGTCGCAGGAAAAAAAAAAAGATGAAAATAAACTCTTTTCGGTAACAAACTTCCAGCCGCGGTGGAAGTCAGGGGTCCTAACACACACTAATGATCTAACTAATGAACTAAGATTTACAAATTCACTTTTTAATAGACCGATCGCACCAGCCAGTTTCACTACGCCACCGCTGCCGCAGTGCATCAAGGGAACTTTAGTCTTTCTGCACGTGCGACAACTTGGCTGGAGCTCTGCGCGTGTTAAACACGAAACGGCACGAGCCCCCTCGTGCAATGCCGTTTGCCTCCTGTGAACTAAAGTTATGGCGGCGTCACGCATGCGTCGAACGCATGGTGAGATCGGTCTAAACATGCTTCAAATTAACAACTTGCTGAGCGTCATCGAAAATCCCTCATTCAGCTAATTTTAAGAAAAAAACTTAAAGCACGCGTGGAGCGTGGGGACTGCGCTAAAGTTTTCACCGGTGCAGCACACGACCACAGAAATAATAGTGAGCGTAACTGAAACCGGCCAATACTCGACGGGCTGTATTCGGGCAAAGAGAAAACGAATTTCGAGCCGCAAATTGTGTGCTGCAGTGGGTAGTTGGACTCTTATAGGTCACGTCCAAATAAAAACCTCGGCGAGCATAGATACCCTATCAGTGTCCCATCAAGAACGAACCAAATATTCCACTTTGCTTCACCTTATCACCATCTGAGCACTTGTCCTCTAATAATGCATGATAGGTTAAGATGGTCCACCCCCGGAGTCCGGAACAAGTTCGTTTCCCGCCGCCCAGATTTGTCTGCGTGTGCGACGTAGTGCTATCAAAGGGTGTCGCGAACGTTTGTCGAACCGGATTTTTAGGTCGAACTTTTGGGGTTCGACTGGTTCGCAACGGTTCGAGTAACCTTCGAACTTTTAACCAGGTGCGACCGGTTCGACTTTGTGGACAGTGTGGCCAGACCGTGATACGTGGGCAAATCAGGAAGTCTTTGCCCCTATTTTCTTTTTAATCAAATTACGGCTGTAAATGCGAAGTGAACATATCCATTCCCTGCGGTGGACCTTTCTTGGACCGGCCCGGCCTTATCTATCGGTAGCCCCGCGGCACGGCGCTGCTGTCAGTTGTTGAAGATCACACGTCCACGGCAACGAAGTTTGATTCGTTTTCTTTGCAGCAAGGGACGAACGCCCATCGAAATCCACAGGGAAATGCAGCCCACGTCTGGGGAGAGGTGTCTCGCTTTGAGAAGTGCGAGGTGGTGGTGTTGTGACTGGTGAGTTTGCAAAAGGCCGTGAAGACTTGCATGACAATGAGCGTTCGGGGAGCCGGACGAATTCTACCACAGGGCCATCTCAAATTTAGTGCTGCGACTGGACAAATGTCTGTACCGGTGTGTGGGCTACGTGAAAAAAAAAATATTGTAAAGTACGTAAAATTCATCATCATCATCCTTTATTAAACCTTGAAGGCCATTGCGGGCATTACACAAGGTGGGAGTAACTGCTGAAGAAACATTATATAAAGGAACAAACAAAAAAGTGGGTTACATGCTGGAAACATTGTTATATAAAGCAGCGAACCCAGAAAAAAAAAAACACTTAAAACATTTTTAGGGAAAAACAGCCGATGAAACATACCCCAAATAAAACATTTCCATAAACACGAGTTGACTTTGCTATTAGTGCAAATGCAGATGGATGGTCAGTTGGGATATGAATGTATTATAATCTGTCTGGGTCACGATACTGATAGGCAGGCTATTCCAGTCCGTTATTGTGAATGGCAAGGTGGAGTTAAGAAACGAAACTGACGAGGCGAAAATTGGACGAACTTCACAGCCGTTATCAATGCGAGGAAATATGCGAGTGGCTGGGGATAATAGTGAAGTTGTGATGTCATGGTTATGATAGTAAATCTTGTGAAAAAGAAACAGGCGTGATGATGTTCTTCTGGATGAGAGCAGATCAAGGTTAGCTTTCATTCGTAAAGAAGTGATGCTGGTGTCTCGTGAGCAATCTGAAAAAAATTAATCTGATTGCGCGATTTTGAAGTGCCTCTATGTTTGTTATCAATGAATGTTGCCAAGGGGACCAGATGGATGACGCGTATTCAAGTTGCGATCTTACGAGTGTAGTGTAGGCTAGTTGTTTAACTGATGATGGTGCTAGTTTCAGATTCCGTCGAAGATAGCCAAGAGAGCGGTTAGCATTAGACAGGACGTGTGTTATATGCGTGTTCCATGAGAGATCGCCAGATAAGTAAACACCCAGATATTTGTAAGATGGACACTTGGTAATTACCTGGCTGCACATGGTGCAAGTGAAAGAGAGAGGACTATGGAGCAGGTGTGAAGGAAACGAGATTTGTTTTAAAAAAGTTAATTGTCATTTTCCACTGTTTACACTAGTCGGCTATTAGGTTAAGGTCAGCTTGTAGGGTTAGGTTATCGTTCAGGTTAGATACAGATCGGTAAATTACCCAGTCATCAGCAAAAAGTCGAACACAGGATGTTATGCGATCTGGTAGGTCATTTACAAATGTTAAAAAACAAAAAAGGCAGAGGTCCGAGAACACTGCCCTGGGGGACTCCGGATGCTACAGGAGAATAAGCTGACGACTGGTTGTTAATCACGGTATGCTGAGTACGATTGGTTAAAAATTGTCCTATCCATGATGTTACGAGTGGATGAATGTGAAGCTGATTTATCTTGAGCATGAGTAAACTGTGGGATACCTTATCGAATGCTTTAGAAAAATCAATGAATATGGCGTCTGTCTGTATGTTATTATCGATGTTACTGTGTATTTCATGAACAAGTTGTACAAGTTGCGTTTCGCAAGAATATGATTGTCTTAACCCGTGCTGGGCTTGGAAAGAGGATGAGGTTATTTTCGAAATGCTTTATGACATTTGAATATATTATGTGCTCAAGTAGCTTGCACTGGTTAGAGATATAGGACGATAATTTGATGGTGAAGTTCGATCCCTCGAT